GATAAACACTTCAGTGTGACGCTTGCTGGATCAACTTTCTCTCCAGCGGAGGGTATCATGTGCACTCCCTTAAACAACGCCCTGACTGTGAACAATCCTAGTGTTCTACTGTAATCAATGCTGATGACAGATACACAAGTGATCTGCAATAAAGAGTAAAAGGAATAGTTCACCAGTATATGAAAAATATATGAATTCTGATGTTGCTTTTCCCACTTAATACACAAATTTATGAAAAAATTTGTTATGCAATTAATGCCACAAAAGAGCCATCATGTGGATTTAAAAGATGGGGACTGTTTCGATTATTACTTTCTTTGTGATATTTTGGTAGTATTAACAGCCTCCTGGTTGTTATCAGCTGTCATAATGGTAAGAAGCTGTAAGTTTGGATACAGTTTTGGGATGTTTTATTTAAGCAGCACTTACCTGACTCCTGCAGGTATCTATACACCAGGAAGTTGACCTCATCGCTGCTAATACTCATCTTCACACCTGCTTACACCATGAGGTCAGCACACAGGACACAAGCCTGAGAGAGAAAGGACAAAAACAACATCAGAAAGCGATCTTACAGAATGACACTAAAATGACAACATAAGAGGTATGCATATTGCCAGGCTTTCTGCCTTCCAGTCAAGAGTAAATATAAAATGAACCCTCTTTTACAGTGAAATTAGGGGGTAAAAGCTCTCTTTGTCAGCAGAACCTGAATGTGTACTATTGCTGCCAGAGGTTACCAAGGGCTTCACAGTCCTGCATGACTGAATAACAAGTCGTAGTACCTAAAGTAGCCATTGCACTGTGGGGGCGCTGCTGCACCAAACCTGCAGAGCAGTAAAAACATCTGCCACTGAAAATGTTTACATGAGGGCTACTACAAAATACCTTTGTTTACTTGAGTTTGACACTTGGATTCATTGTGACTGGCATTACAGAGCTGTCAAGATGTCAGTTTACACTTACAGACGTGTTTAATTTTGTAGCACAGGAACATTTACTTGAAATTAACCTGACCTAGATTTGACACTCAATTTAACTGTGCAAGGACCAACATTTGCACTTTATTGTGATTTTAAAGCAACAACATAAAAGAAGGGGGGGGGGGGGGGGCATATTTCTCAAGGACACTGCTACACTTGCTAAATAGCGTACAAGTTAGGGTGGTTTTATTCAAATAATACAGTACATTAAACCACAATTTCAAAATGTCCGCTCAGCATTGGACTTCCTCCAGAAAAGAGCATCACTGAGCACAAACATTTTCAGTATCACACCGAAACACTGCGTAACCACAAGCTAATTCTGAAAAGTGACCCATTTCCTCACGACCTCTGTGTCCGCCATTCCATCACATCCTCATTTATACGGAGAAGTGAAGTGGAAAGTATTTCCCCGTCGCTCTATAGATGTGGTTTGTTTGCAAGATGGATGGTTTTCATCATCTCAGGGTTTTTTCTTGTGATCATTTTTGAGCAATGACATTTTGTTCTATTTCTAGACTGTCCCGTCATGTGATGTAACACCTGTTCTCTTCTAAACCGACTACAGCTTGTTTTGGAGACATTTAGCTTGCTGATGAACGCTCAATTAGCTGGCTGAACTTCTCAGTCGCCTGCCTTGCGCTCTTCTCATAAATGATGCAAAAGTATGCAAATAGGAGCATCATCAAAAGCTAGTGTGTCAAAGCCAATCAGATAACAGAGATACTGCAGCATCCAATCAAATCAGACCAATCGGCGCCACCGAATCGATGTTTTTATCTCAAAGCATAGCCAAATTAAATCCCTGCAACAGTGCAGAGTGCTCATCTATATAATCGAGCTGCCGCGTCGATAACGAGGAGGACCGCTACCTTTCAATAAATCAGGCATTGAACTCCAGGCATTTACAGTCCGCAACATTAGTGCAAGTAAAGAAACCACAGGTGGGGAAATTCCCTCACACACATGACACAGAAAGAGCTTTTATTGAAACGGGTCACGGCAATCAGGGATCTCTCCATGAGATGTACCGCAATCTGCGCCTCGTAAAGCGCCCTCAGGAATGCAAATATCGTGATATGTCCTCTGCCTTGGACGACATTTTGGTGTGCTGGGGGATGCTTAGTGTGTAGAGTAATCTTCATTGTATAATCAAAGGCCGTGTGTGTTGCGTAACAGTGGAGCGCCAGCACTCGGGGTGAGAGAGTTTGTACGGAGTTATTCAAGGCTGAGGGGGAAGTCTGAGAGGAAACACTGTTTAACTGGTTTGGGTGAAAGGTGTGACAGACGGCTATCGCTTTACAGACTGATAACAGGCCACTTTATAGCAATAATGTCAAAGAAGGGCACACACGGCAATTTACAAATCGAAAACGGTTTCGTCATTTTCAAAGTCATTTCCCTGCTGCTCTAGAAGTGGCAAATAACATAATCTGTTCTTATGCTCCTCAAAAGAAAATAAAAACAAAAACTAATACTAAGTCTAAAAATGTCATGTAGTGTAGCCAAGTAAAAATATTTTCAGAACAGTTTAATTAAAAAAAGTAATTTACTTAAATATAAACATTAACAATGCAATTTTAAAATATATTTAGTGAGTCTTAAAACATGTTTGTAAAAAATGTAATTAACAAAAATAGTGTGCAACCAAAACGTTTTGAAGTTATTTGTCAAGATGCAATTATTAATTCACATATATTAACATCTACATAAAGTCCCTGTGAACCTGAAGTTGCAACCGACTTTACTAACAGTGTTGTGTAGGGCTGTACTATCCCAGTTGATTCATTGTCGATGCATTCTGGTTCGACCAAAATTCTGATGTCAGTCGATTTTCTGCTGCGTTAGTTGGTTGGGAGTATTATAATAACATTATTAATAATCAATACTCATCAAGGCATGGCGACAGTGAGCTGACAAACAATTAAAATAAAAAAGACACTTAGTCATTGTGCTTTGGAGTTTATTCAAAATTATAAATGAATGTGCTACTTGAATACATTAACTGGCACATTTGGTATTCTGTCAACTCAGGCTTTGATCCTGAGTTTAGGTGCAACATCAGTAGCGAACGGCCAAACACATGCTGATAGAGTTTATAGAATATTAAGAATTTAAACAAATGTACACAGGAAGATTCGTCGTCTTTTGGGAGGTGATGGAAACTACAGTCGTTGGCAGGAACACTGATTTTAGTTTAGTCCGGTTATACAGTACATACAACCACGAACAGCACATGTTGTCCATGAGCTCCGTAACGACATCTCTCATAAAGATTTGCGTCTTTAAATAGTAAAATAATTCTCCGAAAAACAGCTAGCCTCTTCGCTAACTAACACACAAAATAACATTGGAATGCTACTTCCGCCGCCTTAGCGGAAGATCCACCCACTTTATTTTTTTACAGGAGCGCCCCTCGGAAACTTATAGTGTATAGTGTAGCCTACGATACCGCGACTGCATAAGACTACAGAAAGAATACAAACAACCTCATTTCCATTTCCGGTGGCGGAGTAGTACCGTACATTACAGAACATACAATGCAAGTCAATGGAGTTGAACAAAAAACTATGATAAAACCTGTTGGAAAGCATCTTTTGCAGCAATTTTTGTGTGAGCATATCAGTGAACACCCCAGACCACTCGGTGAGTTTCACGTCTTTGTAAACTAAAGTTTTATGCGTTTTATAAAGAATTGTTCCAGTGCATCTATGCAACCATTGTGAAGGTTGGGGGGTGGAATCCAACCACAGAATTTGAAAATTCTCAGGACAGCAGCATTTGTCTAAAAAACAATCTTAACCATTCTATTCCATCAAAAACGATTTTAAAACAGGGCTTCAATGGTAAAATACCAAACTTGTCCTTTAATATCTGCGGCCGAAAACACATTACCAATAAATTATTAAAGGTTTAAACAGTCTCCTTCTGTTTTTTGTTTTTTTCACGACACACTCATAATCATTATATTTGACGGTGCACTGTGGCAAGCTTTATGTGTGGGTTTGGGTGCTGATTAGGCATGAATTTTATATAGACAATTAAAAGGTCATTATGATTAATGGCTTATTAATTTAAATGCTCGATTAGTCGACTAATCGCTTAAATGAACGACTACTAGTCGTCTAGAACAATCTTTAGTTGAGGGCAGTCCAGTACACTGAAAATCTACACAACTGTAAACTACAGAAGAGGCTGATTACACCTTTCGGTGTAAGTGTGTGTGTGAGAGAGTGTTTGGCAGTGGTGCGTTGGGCTTTTCACACGACTCCCTTGACAACAGTGAACTTGATCCTCTCAAACCTCTTAAGGCCTGGAGAGCTTGTGTTCTAGTGTAACACTGACTGCAAAGAGTGTCTTCAGGAATTTGCGTCCAATGGTCAATGCTCATCGTCCACCACTTAAACAAAAAGGAAAATATCCCAAAAGCCTAAGCATTAAAATTTGACTCTAAGCAATATTACAGAGAGATAAATAGCTTGGACGAGTGTAATGTAAATCATCACTCTTAAAATTCAGTCAAAATCACAGCATATTAGAAAGACCGTGAGATAGTCCTTCCCCAAACTCCTGTTAATTCTTGATCCAATGCTGCGGTGTCAAACATTGGATCTAAAAAATAATTCTAAAATGTCAGCATTTGATTCCAAAAATATGAATATTTAACCATCTCAATATTTTAGCAACACTTAAGTGTTACACATTGTTATTTATATTATTATTAATGTTTATATTTAATAATTCAAGACATTTATATTATAGCATGCTAGTAGCTAAAATTGATACTGGGAATTAATGTTATTGGTTAACAAAATATTAAAAATGATAATAAATGTTATGTACCCTTAACTTTGAACCTTAAAAATTGTTTCACATTTAATGTAATTTTATCAAAAAATAAATAAATACAAAAAAAATAATAAAATAATAATTCAGATGATTGTAAAATAGTTAAACGCCAATATAAATATTAAATACTATAGATGTGAAAGTTAATTGCTTCAAACATTGCTTCATATTTACAGAGCAATCTTCAGAATGAATTAATGAATACATTTTCAAATCAAAATGCACACCAAGTAAACAATATAACCTTTTACATGTTTTATACTATTTGTCTAGCCATGTTATTGTCAAAAATTCCATCTACGCTATCAACTACAGTTTTCTCCTGAAATGTGAAGCACTCTGCTATTTGTAAAACAAGGCAAGGTAACAGAAGAGCTCTGAAGCAGACGTGCTTTCGCCACCCCACATCCAGACAATTGTGCCATTTTTCTTCCTCTTTTCAAAGCAATTATGTCAACACCATTTTCACCAGACGCTTTTGGAGAAATCAGCATATGGCTCACATCCCTCCGTCAGCATTGAACAATCAGGTCGAGTTCAAAGGCAAAGCAACCCAATCAATCCGGCAGGAACAATGGCCGTTGCCACACGCTAGTGAATGCTGCCACAAGACATTAAGACAGATGCTGGCCTAAACTGTTGTGTTGTGATGCAACTAACTCTCCGAAGGGCGGGAAATCAAATCAACTTGGACCAGGGA